AGGTTCATTGTTTTGGCCTTGAAAGTCATTTAAAAACTTTTTTAAAAATCCAAGTTTTGTGCTCTGAGTGACCTTTAAAAAAATTTCATGTTTTGTTTCTGAATTTTCTTTTGAAAATAATTCTTAACGTCTAACATGTTTTGCTCCAACCCTTCTTCGATGAACAATTCGAAAAAAACGCACGTTATTTTAAACTAAGATTCTAACAATTTCATTTTTTTAGAAACTTTCCATTAGAACACTATTCTTAAAATATGCAAATGTAGAACTCCGAAAGTACATTAAAAATAATTCATAAAATATCCTCGTTTATATCTCCGACAGACCCTTAAAATTGATTCTTAATAAATCCATATGTTCTGTCTTTGAAATTGCTTTTTGAAAAAACAATCAAAAAACCATGTTTTAAAAAAATTGTTACAAAATTATTGTTTAATATTTACTCGTCCTTTTAAAAACTTATTTTTGAACAACTAAAAAATATAAACTTTTAATATCTTCCACCATTAAGTAAAAAAATCAAATAAAAGTGTCTGGATTCAAACGTGTTCCACTTTCAATTGCAAATACAGTGAGATCGATAGAAGAATGCATTTTAAATTGGCAACATTTAATGAAGTGGGTGGTACTGTTATGTGGAGGAAAGAACCTAGGTAGGCAAATTTGTACTTCAAGGATTGTTATTTATTGTAAGTCTTAAATATCAAATTTGCAACAAATCCGTGAAAAATGTGGGTAGAATTATCCAAATGCCGAATATCGAGTGATACCGTTACGAACTACAAATTCCAAATTTTAAACAAATCCGTTAGAAAAAAAGCTGAGTTCGCCAAAATTCAGAATATCTGAAGGTACCGTTTCATGTGCGCTATAATAAAACGTGGACCCATACATATAATGTTTTGTCACCGGACAAATTCCTCTCGTTACAAACTCTCAATACCAAATTTTGGAACAATTCCGTGGGAAAATGTAGTAAAAATATGAAAATACCGAATATCAGATGGTACTGTTATACTTGAAATCTGAGTTATCCTTGCAAGGTAACTATTCCAAAAAGTGCACCAATATGAGCCATTTTCTCAATCTTATCAATGATTTTAAATGTAATCCAAAGATCTCAATCAATATCCTAAGAACCCAAAACTCCTTTGAGGTATTGATCTAAAAACGAGTACTATAGCTCACCTGACATTTTCCACAACCTATTAAATTATTAAAAATCGGGAAAAATGCTAAATTTTTCAAAAATAAATAAATTAACAAAAAAGGAATGCTTTTTTATGGTACATATTCAGTACAGAAATTCCATTTGTTCAGAGATTCACAATAACATTTGATCTTAAATAATCCTTACTTTGACACTTTTCCCAAAAAATGAAATATAAGGGAGATTTTGTATCGGATTGTATACGTGTTAAATTAATAGAAAAAAGGCATGCTTTTCACTTTTAGCATACAAATTTTTAAGGTAGTTTTCATAAAAACTATTGTACCTAGATATATGGTTTATTCTGAGGTTCATAATATTTTGTGTAGAATATTACTTTTTTGACTTCCGCTTCCGAAACAAAATTTTACATGTTACTTTCATGCATTAACTCGAAAAAAATCCGAGGAAAATTTATTAAAAAACAAGAAAAAAAGCTGTAACTGTGTAGCTAGCCGAACTTTGAATACCCTCCACCATTTGGAACGAAATTGGCAATTCTCAAAAACAATAAAATACATTAAAAATTCTGTTATCTTAAAAATACCTAATCTAGCTGTTATATTAGGGTCTATACGACGACAAGGACCTGCATAGGTAACTTTTGTCATAAGTCATTAAAATATTCAAATGCGAAACTTAAAAAAAAAAACTTAAAAATCATCAACATACCAAATATCGGGAGGTACCTTTATATGGGTGCTATACGGAGACGTGGACGTGCACAGACAATCTCCTGTCTTAGGCTGCAGCATCCATTACGAACTTAAAATACCAAATTTGAAACAATTCCGGTGAATAATGTCCCTAAAATCAACAAAGTACCGAATGGGGGCTATACGAAGACGTAGACCTGCGCAGACAATTTTCTGTCTTAAGCTGTGGTATCCATTACGAACTTCAAATACCAAATTTGAAACGATTCCGATGAATAATGTAGCTAAAATCAACCAAGTATCGAATATCGGAAGGTACCGTTATATGGGGGCTAAACCAAAACGTGTACCTACAAGGCCCAAGTCCTGCAGACATAATATACATTTGAGTAAAATTTTATTAATCTACTTCATTTTGTTCGGAAGCTAGAGTAATTTCCACAGACGGACATAAAAATGTATATTTCGAAATATAAAATGTATATTTCGAGGTGTTACTAACGGAATGACAAACTTAATATTCCCTCCGTACTATGGTAGAGGGTATAATTAGGAAATATTTTCGTTTTTGCTGGATTTTAAATGTAGTTATTAGAAAAAATAAATAAAATTTCTGCGTTCAGCTCAGAGTCATCGAAAAATTTCTTTGAAACATCAATGTTTTTTGGTTTATAATCCATAAAAAGGTTCTTTAAAATCCATCGTCTTCCAAAAAGATGTGATTACAACATTTAAAATGCAATTAAACTAGTTTTATTAATTAATTCTTATTAAATTAAAAATTCATTGTTTTTTGCTTAATAGTCCTTAAAAAGTTCACTTTTTAAAATGTTATCCATAACAAAAAAAAACAACTTTTTAGGTTTGATAATCTCTTAAAAAAATATATTCTCAGAAAGTCTGCGTTTATACTCATGGTGGGACAAATGTTAATTTGATTTATTGTATTTAGTTTTTTTATTTATTTGTCCTTAAAAAATTATTAAAAAATTTTCTTTAAAAAATTCAATTTGAATTCATTTAAATGTGGTACCAATTTTACAGTCCTTAAAATAAATTCACATTTATATCTTGGTATTCCTTTAAAAACCATTCATCGAAAAACCAACATTTATAACACTATCGTCATAAGTTTTCAGCCAATGAAAGCACTCTCAATGTTTTTTTTTTCGCGTTAACGCTGAATACTTTTTAAAATCTCAGTTTTTTCACTTAAATTGAGTACTTTGAAGAATATTTTGCCGACATCCCAAATAAATCATATTATATCAATAAATCATTGTCGTATATCACTTTATATGAAACTAGCTGGCCCGGTCCGCGTTGCCGGCCCGTAGTTTTTGTCTATTATGCATATTTGTCAAAGCATAATTATTCACAGATATGACTGATATAAGTGTTTTAAAATACCTGTACCCATATTTAAGCCGTGGGCTTCAAAGGTGTGGATGTGCTATACAAATCTATTAAAAAGTATATATCAATCTTATCCCCATGTAAGGGATCAAATTAATTTTTAGTATGGTAAACATCGTAGCAAAATCTTCCAGTGAAATGAGCAGTAATTTGGAATTTGCTGTATTTTGTACACCTCATAATTGAGCGCTGAATGAATTAAGAATAGCCAAAGTTAATTACTTTTTTAAGCCATTAGCACCTCAGATTGTCCATTAGCGTTCTTATAAGTCCCCCTAACCATGTCGGTCTGTTTGTCCGCCAAAAAGTGGACTTGAGGGGGTACTATTATATGGAAAAAATTCTAAAATTTGTAGATATGTTCATATTTTTGTGTAAGTTTTCACCCCCCAAATACACATTTTTAGCCAAATCCTTTGAAATATGGTAAAATCAGGAGATACTTTTACATGGGCACTACTCCGAGACATCGACCTACATTGAAAACATTCTTCTAGCCCTTATAATCCAATCCAATGTGGGGACTTTACTTAAATAAATTCCTATGTGGCAATTATCTGTATGATGGTTCCCTAACCCCTTAGAGACAAAGATGCCAAATAAGGGCCAAAATATGAAAAAAGTGGCCAAGACCCCAAAAATAGCTTAAATCATATGATGGTTATATAAATATAAAATCGGGTTGTACCCTTATCCGTGAGTTATGATCGATATCATGACCTGCAAAAGTGATTTAAGGTATCTTGAATGTTTGGGAAGAATTCCTGGAAGGATAGAAATCCTTTTCTTACTAAAAGTCCCATTCGCTCTATTATTTTGCACCCTTTAAATTTGGTATTTTACTGATTGTACTTCCAAAGAATTTTGCATTTTGAGCTCTCATTGGACGGATTATTGTCACATGAAAGAAGTAGGTCCACGCTTTGAAATGAGCTCCATTAGGCTTTTTCTGTCATTTTTGGTTGTTTAAATGTGTTTGCAAATACAAATTAAAAAAATGACAAAAGAAGAATAGCAAATTGAAAAAATCTTCAACTTGTTCGCTGATTTATTACAGCAAATGTTTAAAGACCCTTACTATTTTTTTAAAATTCGATTCCACTGAAAATCTTTTCGATTTTTTCCCGATTTGAGAATTTTTGCAATGAGATCTCTTTTTCGTTATTTTTTTAGCGAATTTGAAAAAGTAATTATCTTTTAATTAATAATTATCTTTCTTTTGGTGTGACCGCGTTAAATTATTTCGATATCATCTATTCCGTTTCGCCACCATATAATTCGTTATTACACTTCCATGTAACCCGCCATCAATTTCAGTTCTCAAGAAATCAAGTCAATTAAATAAATTGGTTTTAATATTCGAATTCAAAAATAAAAAATAAAAAACACTACAAATGTACATTAGAAAAAAGCCAGTCAAAATAGAAAAAAATCATGCAAAATAAAACATTACTATTGTACATTTGAAAAGTCAAAATGAAAATGTTAATATATCACATTTTTACGCGATTTTTTTGGATATTATCCTTTTCGGAGAGGAGACAACTCCTAATTTGTGTGAATTGTTAAAATCAGTCCAGCGGTTCTTAAGTTATAAGTGTAGTAACTAACACAACTTACATTTATATATATAGATATTTCAATATTTGTCAAAATATTAGCAATTTTGATATTTTCTGCACTTATAAGTTTTCAATTTTCAAAAATTTTTCACTCACAAAAATAGTAAACCCAAACACCATTGAAATTGATGCATTTTTTGGCGACGTGATCTTGGTGATACTCCACCAGGAAACACATAAACCGGACCGGGCATTGTGGGCGGGGCTGGGGGAATTCCAGTAGTCAAAGGAGTTGTTTCATCAGCCATTACTTCTTTCCCTTAAATATATCTTTTGACACAATTTTTTGATAGAGATGGATTCGGATGTCAGTTATTATTAAAACTAAGGTGTGTGTTTAGCGCTGAACAGTTGCAAAGTAACTAAACTCTTTCATATTTAACAACAGACAACCAACAAGTCAATAAAAGTGATTGACTTCAAAGTGCATTACTATGGTTTCCCTTGCAACAACGAGAGCAAAAGTGGAAAATGAGCAAAGAAAGATGAAGTGAAAAAAATAACATTGTGATGCATTTTTCTAATGCTGTGGGTGTGATTTGGGTTCTGCAAATACCAAAGAAAAATTAAAATTTTTTTAATAATAAATAGCATGTATTGTAATAAGAGACAAGAATGACTGCGATTCATTATGTAGTCTCTCATGTTGAATGAATAAATATACGAATTTCACAACTAGATTTCATTGAAATTTTTTAACAAAAGTGTATGCCTTAGCTTTATTAAATTACTAAACAATTAATACAAACTTAAAATAAACAAATTAAATGTTATGCGACACACACACACACTTCATTACATTTCCATCATTTCATCGGATTTCTTATTTTTAAACGTATCATTAATATATTCATAGGTAAGCTTTAAAAGATATTGAAATGATTTATTGTTCACCAATTCTTCTAAATCACTGCTGTTCAAGAACTCTTCCATTGGTGGTAGGAAGGTATCAAAATCGCCATCTGTAAGTGAAAGTTTTATCAGTATTGGAAACTAAAGGAAAGTCCTTAAACATACCCATTAGGTGGCATAATTCAATTAATTTGAAGAACATTAAATTCTGTATATAATCAACAGCGGTGTTCGTGTCATATTGTGTCCAATTGTCCCGCAATATTGCTGAACACCAGATTTTATGCCGCGCCTCAAATGGATCTTCGAGATAATTGAGTAATTCCAAGGCTTTGCGAAAATCAAACTCGGTGGCTGTATCATGTTCATCGGCAATAAAAAGCTATTAAAAATAAAAAAAATATATAGTTTAAAGTTAAAAATGGTAAGTAGTATTATCGTTAAGTACAATGAACTTTTTAAATCTAAACGTTTAAAATATTTAATGCTTACATTTATAATTTCCTCAATACGCAAAACCTTTTGATTTTCCACCTCATAACCGAATGCTTGTAATAAATGATCACTTAATTGTTCTTGATAATCGACAATATTCAATTCAGCATTGATGGTCTCCAATTGTAACGTTACATCAGAGTCTGCAGCGGCAAATGCTGCCAACTTAGCCAAAGACAACATTGACTGAAAAAATATTTCTTTTTTAATAGAAGCTTTTTTTCGAAGCCGTAAAGGCTACTTTTGTTTTAAATTTTAATAAATAACTAAATAAAGCAGCTCACTTTTTTTCTTTGGACAAACTCTGTCTCAGTCTGTGCCAGTTGGAACAATGTTTTTGAGGCTCTTTCAAAATCACCATTAAATACAAGTTGTATCCAACCAAGTGTAGGATGATCACGCATAAATTGTGACAATGCTGCTTGATTTCCCTTGAAACGTTCAAACACTTCTCCTTGGCGATTTTGACGTAAATGCCAATTGATGGCAAACTGTGAAAAATCATATTCCTCATATTTTTTAATATAGGCATCCAAACGTTCTTGATTGTTGGTTACATCACAAAGTATAACCAGAGATTGAAAGTCTAAATATTTTTCAGCTAATTTTGCAACAGCTTCGTACTGTTGATCATCAACTGGAGAGAGAAAAAAAATATAATTTTAGTGTAAATTAAAACTTCTACATTATTTTTCTCAAACTGACATGTCATTCAGCCATGGAATGAAACAAAATTATAATCTACTTACGCAATATTGAAATTAATGCCCTTCTCTGTGATTCAAATTGTTGTTGTAAGACATTAAATTTCTCCGTATCGCGCACACTATCTAAATAATGCTTACGACCATCCAATACAATATCAATCAATTCCAAGATTTGTTGATATATACGTTGTCTTAAATCTGGATCACTTGTACCATGTGCACCATATTTGACAGACACATCTATCAAATGTGATATAGCATCACGCATACCAATATTACCCGACATTGCCGTCCATGGTAAATATTCATATGTATCCATTTTATCAGCGGGCAATGAATATACGGTTGCATTTTGTTCACGGAAATTCATAACTTCACTGATGATATGCAAGACCACTACATTGATATCATGTATGAACGATGCCAACGAAGACGTTTGATGTTGGGTATCAATGCGACCATCAGCTAGATCACAAAATGCTTGTAGAATTTCTTGAAATTTACAAATGCGTACATAAAATAAATCCTGGGCTGTCAGGTTGCCCTGAGGACGTTCCTGCCAACGTTGTACAAGTATATTAATGGCTTCATCAATGAGTTTGTTATACCTGTAAATTAATAGATATTAAATGTGGGGCATGTGATGGGGCGTTAAAATATAGTTTCTTACTTATTTTGTATACTTCTCAAGGCAATTGCTGCTATAATACGTTCATTAATATCGGATATAACAAAGCATGTTGGCTTTAGAACACTGCCGCCGGCACTTGGTATGGCACTGAGCTAAAATCAAAATAAAAAATGGATGTTAACATCATTAAAATATAATGTAAAACAGTCTTATTAAAAGTTAAATATTTAATGAAGATAATTACTGTATGATCATTTTAAGTGTAGGTAAGTTGGCATGAAAGTTATGTTCCCCAACTCTAGTCTAAAACACATTTATTTGCTAAAATTGAACATATTTCCCGGAAAGAAGTAAAATGAACTGATTTGCTCGGACATCCACCTTTTCCAGGCTAATACTTAAGCCGGAATTTTACATACATGAAAATCTCCTACTCTCTGATTGTTATTGGCATTTATAGAAATCTCAAACAATTCAAAAATTTTAAGTAAATGTTACCTTATCCCATAATCCAGTGGCATGTAAAAACTCAACGAAGTGTCTAAGTGCTAAATTTTTCTCTTTCAATTGTGTTATAATTTGCAAAGATGAAGAACTTCCCAAGGCATGTTTATGAGCCGTAGATTCCTCAAACAATTGTTCCCAGCGAGGATCAGAGGCAGGTACATCTTCGGCCAAATCTTCAGCAATGGTAATAACCATTCTGTAAATTAAATAGATAAATATTATATTATATTTTCTCTCACTTCCGTGAACTTACCTATCTAATTGAGCTGCCTCCGATAGTTTTCCTGCTGTATTAGGTTCAACATTATTTCTCAATAATTCATTTAGAATGGTGTTGCACATGGCGGTATTACGTTTTAAACGGTAAATAAAAGCAGCCTTTAGTTGACTTACATCATCTTTGAATTCAGAATAAATCGAATCTGGATCCAACTCATACATATATAAATTTTGTTCGTTAACATTACTCATCGATGTTGACAAAACACTTTGTTCCCTCAGACTAGAGTCGGCTGCAGCCGAAGTTACAGGAGAAAAAACTTCGGGACTAGCACATGTCATGTTAACCATCATTTCAGCACTATCAAAATCACCGGGTGTTATCGAAACTAAACCATGTGTGCGACTAAAAATCAGAGGAATTTGGCCACACACTGCTGCGCTCAATATGCGGTCATCTTGCAAATGGAACTCAATTTTTTCAGCATCAATTTCACCCATTTGAATGTTGGACAGGCTTAAGGGATATACCACTTTCTCGTTATAGAGATAAATATGGGTACGACAGATAATAAAACGTAAACTCAAACATTCATTTTCTGTGGGCACACTATAGAACTGTGACAACTTTAAAGGTACAAAGGATTGCAGATGCATGCCTTCGTTAGTAGTGTTTAAAACAGCTGAAAAGATATTAAAATAATTTTAGCCAAGTGTAGAAGTAATTTATTTAAAACTTACCTATTCCATAATACATCTGAGGTGTGTGTGGTGTATTTACCGCACCCGCCAAAATATAAGTTTTGTTTTCGAATATACGCATATCCAAGAGTTGTAATTCCACATCCGCACTATCTGATAATGTTTTTAAAATGCCTTGATTTTTTAATTGTTTTAATTTTTTTGTTAGATTTTTACTCACCTCTGACATTCCAAAACTTTTGTAAAAATTCATCACGAATTTTTCTAATGATATCGCCATCTTCAAATACCAATTGTTCATTATTGCCTGAATGGTTTAAGCGCCAGCGCTGTATCCATCGATCGGCAAGTACAGATATAACAACTTCACGTTCTCCGCAAGCCTTTTGGTCATAGGCTACAGCAACAAATTTCTGAAATTTTATGACAGAGTAGCAATATTTAATATAGATCCATTTTAGCTATTTTTACTCACATTTTCCTTGTCATTTCCACTGTTCATGCCGATGATTATTGAAGCAAATTTTTTACCAATACCACCCAAAAATCCAGATGGTTGTCTTATAGTTTTATGTTGCAATACATGACGACCATTTTGCAATTGCAACTGCAATAACACCAAACTACAAGTTGTGGTCACCAACAAATAACTCATGGGCATATGTTGTGGAGGCAACGTCAGCATAAAATCAAATTCTTGACCATCCAAAATATTAGTCAAATCCACGGAACTACCGTCATGAGCTATAGACGGCCAATAACGTACATCTCCGGTGGGTGAGACAGCAACACACGAAGCCATTTGTTGACCTTCACTAGAAAATACACTAACTAATGAAGCCTTGTGGCCAATATCACAATGAGGCAATGTTAGTTCACGACACTGAGCCATGCCTCCCGGTCTTCTCTGTGAATTACGCGCAATCATTTCTTTCGCACTTCTAGGCGGAGAATTGCCGGTTCCAGTATTGCGTACATCTTTATATTGCCATACCAATAAACGTCTTCCGTGAACAACCCATGCCCAACCATTTTCGGCACAACGAACTGATACCGACTGGCTCTTCTCATTGAATGTCAGTGCTTCATTTACCAGCACGGGTAATTGGAATCCATAGCTTTCTACCAAATTGAAATCGGAACGTATACCCAAAACAGATTGATTGGATCTGCCCGATAGACTGTAACGGCTAAGGTAAGACGAATATTACCAACACTTCGGATATTAACACAAACAATTTCCTACAATACCTCTGACCCATACCGCCCGTGACATTGGCTGCAGACTTTTTTAGACCAACTACTCCACCGCCATAAGCCAAAACAGAACCGCCCAATGATTTTCTTCCAGCAGCTCCTCCAGCCCTCAAACTAGCTGCGGATGCACCTCCCAGCGAATGTCGTGACATGCCGGAATACAGTTGTTGATGTAATGCCTTATCCATATTATTAGCTTTTATTATTTTTTCAGTAACTTATTAACAAAATCCAAATCCACAGAACTGGTAAATCAAAATAATAAGCTCACACAAATAAACAAAATATTGCCGGCGTCCACAGTTGACATGTGCAAAATGTGGCGCAAAAAATTGTCTTCTTCTTTTTCGGTAGGAAATATACCCACAATAACATCGTAAAGCGAAAGCGGTTTGTGAAATTAGCTTATGTTTACATGGCTCCGTCGTGCAGTAATTTTTACCTGGTTTGCATGGAATATATATTAGAACATGGTTTAAGAATATAGGTAGACGCATTGACACAGCTGCTGGGACAATGAACTGTCAAACCAATTTCGAAATTGAAAATGTTGAATGAAACATTATTTAATAATTTTGAAAAACGCGAATTTTAATAACTTCCGAATGAAACAAAAAATCATAAAATGTACTTATTTTTGAAAAAAAAATTTTGACATATCAATGCTTCCAAGCTTTGATGCATCTACTTGTACTCATGGTACAATGAAGAGAAGGTAGGTTAACTTTGAAAAAATTGCAAGTATAGAGAACTTGTTGCATTGATTTTGAATAAATAATATAAAACCGCGAAAACTGAATGAATGGTCAAAATTTCTTTTCAATATCATGTTCTATATATCTCTTATGGTTTATTTCGCGACAAAAACTGTAGATTTTGTCGATGCATTCATTGCAATAAGCATTTTGAAAACACCCGAATTTGAATATTTTCTGAACAATTTTTTATTATTGAAAAGAAGACACACACATAAGCAAATGAAATTGACATATTGAGAGCTCCCAGCTGATTGCAATTTTTTTAAGTTTGCCCGACTTCTTCCAATTTTGTGTATGTATTTATTGTTTTGAAAAAAGAAAATAAAATATTTTCAAAACCAATGATTGGAAAACACGTACATTGCGGATCACACTTTAAAGCTATTAAACAGTTTAGCCATAAAAATGAAAGATTGAACAGTTTGGATTATTTTTGAGAGAAAATCCAAGCATTTCATTTATTTCACGCACTATTTAACTGATTTGAAAAATGAGGAACAAATTTGAAAATATGAAAACAACAACAATTTTTATTGAGTCTGTATCTACCTATATTCTTCTACCATGGGTCTTCCGATAGAAACAGTGTTGTTAGCTTTTAACTTTCAATTTCCATAAACATTTTGTGTTCGAAAGTTATAATTTTTCTTATAACTGCTGAATTAGCAATTTTGAAAACTATCGATTGAGACCAGCCCTCAGCTTCAGCCAAAACGTGCCTCATCGAAATAACGGTTTTAGACCCTAGGTCTCTTTAGACTAAATCCGTTTGAGGACATTTAGAGTCGATTTTTGGAAGCCCGTCCGTCCGTCTGACTGGCTGGTGCGCACGATTACACTCAAAGGGAGTATCCGATTTGGTACAAACTTAGTATATCTTAATATTATTTTCAAACTGAGTTCCAAGATGGGCGATATCAGCAACTCCTTCAAGTACCTCCCCCACCAAGGATCAACATTTAGAATAATTATAAATCTTATATAGTACGATTGTCTTCAAATTACACACATCACAATATATGTATTAACTCAAGGCGTGAAGATGGAATATATCAAATTACAAAGTTTATTTTCTCTGTTTAGAATGAGGGACCAAAGTGAATTTGCCGAATGTTTAGAATAAGGCAAAGGAAAATTGATGCAACAGTATATAGGGTTCTACATATCAAAAGTTGATAATAAATCTGGTGACTCGATTTTTTGATGTGGCATTTGCTTTAGTTGCACCTTTCTCTCGACTCTTTCGGTTACACCCTCACAAAGGATCAAATTTTTGAATATCGATGAATCTCATAAAACACGAAAGTATCATCCGATTTCATTCAGACTTGGCACATCTCAATATTTCCATCAACACAAGATCTGTAATAAATTATCACAATGAACAATATTGGCCCATTCCCTCGGTACCTACTCAACAATTTGAATAATCCAAACAGTATTCAAAATATATTTAACCACCACAACCGACTGAAACTTTTTAACTTGTTTCTTTTGCATTTTGAAATGTCATAATTTATTATTATTATTTTTTTTTTGTTTGACATATGCTCTCATTTTTTAAGGATGGGACATGTTTCATCTTCGATTGCATGAAAATGTTGGTGTGGGAAATCTATTACATATTCCACAATTTGCGGCGAACAACGAATCGAATGCTAATCAAGTGAAGTGGAAACGACACAACTGCCACATCAAAAAATCGAGTAACCAGCTTTATTATCAACTTTTGATCTGTAGAACCCTATATACTGTTGCATCAATTTTCCTTTGCCTTATTCTAAACATTCGGCAAATTCACTTTGGTCCCTCATTCTAAACAGAGAAAATAAACTTTGTAATTTGTTGCTTCTTATGTGATCTTTATTGGTCATTTGCTTTAATTGCACCTTTCGTCGAACTGTTGCAAGACTTACTCCGCCAAAAAGTCTTTGAAATCCTTGAAATGTTTTGCCAATAAAAAAGACAGATTCAAAATGGCAACTTGGACCAAAAACCAACCAATGGGTTCGTCATCGGCCAGAAGAAAATGGAATTTAGAAGGTAAGTCAATTAGTTTCGACGCCCACAATCTTCATTTTTAAATGTAAAAATATCGTTTTTCTTTGTTTCTACACCAACAGATCGCACGTCGTTGAATAACTTGAAATATCATATTGCATCAGAAGGTTGCTCTGAAGTGCAGTATGATTTGGCCAAACAGTTGTTGGAGAAAAACTTGGGTACATTTTCAAAAAAAAAAAAAAATATATATATATATATATATATATATATATATATATATATTTTAATCCATTAAATGTATTCCTTTGCAGAAGACAATGTTGAAGCTTCAAATCAACAAGCCGTCCATTGGCTTATTTGCGCCGCTCAGCAGGGACACGAAGAAGCAGCGAGTCTTTTACAAAAATGCTATGATGAAGGCTGCGGCATAACAGCTGAAAATGAAAATGAAGTACGTTTATCACTCTCAATGACACCTGGTGAACGGGCAGCAAGAAAGGCGGCACGTGAACTTTTTGCCTGTCTCTCCAACGGTGGTAAACACATAACACCCAAACAGTTGGAGCGGAAAATGCGCGAAATATATAAAATGCAAAAGGCTCGAAGACATGCGGGTGACTCAACATCTACATCCGAAGATGAAGATCATGTGCCGCAACAATCTCTGGAAGATGGCTCAGGACCTTCCCTTAGCAATGGTTCAGTTAATTTACGACATCAACCAAAAGAACGTAAAAGAAAAACCCGTCGAAGCCATTTAAATGCACCCGAACCGACGGCTGACAACGATCAAATCACTGAAGAAAATTTGGTTTCGGCCGCTGTTAATTATGCAGCTGGACGTATGCCGGCTGTCAACGACGTCATGACCTTGACGGTGCCTCATCCTTCCTCATTGGACCATGTACCTTGTTTTCATCGATTACTATTCCATCCTATAGTGTTCTTTACGTTGCTATATCATCGTATGATTAATATTGTGGCTGATTTTCCCAAGCGTGTACCTCAAAGTGTTAGGCTGGCTTTGCTGCTCATCGTCTATTGGTTGGTGTCTACAGATAATCTGACAACAGCATTACCGGTGGGATTCTATTACCTTTGTTGGTCCATCATGATTTGGTCCACATGTAAAATGCTTAAGACCAAACATGATTTTATCGACTTTCGTATATGGTCTGGACTATTTCTATCCTATGGTGACCATAATATTGAAGCTGATATATCGGAGAATCGTTTCCTGAGGAATAATATGCAACCTTATCTATATTTCTTTTGTGCTTTCATCGGAAACTTCCTGGTATACCCACTGCTGCCACCCGAATGGTTGCCTCATTCCGAACTGACAATCGTGGCTGGTATATTTGTGTTCTTTTCCATGCTGGCATTCATGTATTCTACACAACGTTTTCCTGATTGGATATTTCTCATATCGTTTGGCGTTAATGTTTTGGCTAAATACCCCTATGAAATGGATGATGTTGTAACAACTGGCTGGCGTTTCTTGGATCTGAAAGTGCCCACATTTTGTTCCTTCGTCATTGGCAATGGCATCGAATTCTGTTTAAACTGTCGCACAGCCCTATATCTGTTGATCCCAGTATTTTTGGTACATTTAGCCAAAAGATCAAATTGGCACGGAACATATACAACGCTAATTCCGCATTGTGTTACGCTCAGTTGGCTTCAGTTGTGTATTACTAGTGCCCAAAGTGCTACAATGTTTGGTGTGGTTCGAGCAACACTCGGACTGGCGGGAGTTCTACTATTCCTACCCTTGTTTGGTTTGGTGTCTCTGTTGATTCCAGTTTTTGTTGTCGTTGAATGGTTGGGTTTTACAAATCCAAATTTGCGCTTGGGCAGTACTGTTATTGTCTCGCTGTTGGCCGTTTTGTTCTCATGTTTCTTGGCCATAAATCGTACAACGCAGAAATATGTAACTATTTTGCAGGTAAGTTGAAACCAACAGTTAATTGACAATTAACATTTGTATTACGTAAGAGGAATTATAGAATATATTCTCATTGCATTTTATTATAAAATATTAAGACAGTTAAGTACAATTTTACATCGCTCCTTTTAGATTATTACTTAGTAGAGGGAATGAAAGGCATTTTAGTTGATTACGATTGTGCTACATTAGGATTATGTTCTACAGTGTTAACCATCCATGCCATAAACAAGGCACCTATGGGTCGCTACAAGTAAAGCCACTGTGAAATGCATCCAATGTACAATTTGTGGTCTGATCTCCCAGCTTTTCACTATGTCATTCCTGCATGAATAGAGCAGAATATGGCTCATTTTGGTATGTTCCTCGATGTTACCGTTCCAGTTTAATCGCTGACCCGACAACCTTGTCATGGCCCGAACTTGACAACTTTGCAATAGATCTGAAATAGTTAGAAGGAATCTGCCACTTACCACTAGATTATTGGTTTGGACAAATACCATTGTTTTTAATCGGTCGAAACTAATATTTTAACGATCGACAAAAATCAAAGCAGGAGTGCGGTATAACTCTGCTGACGCTTCCCACAACCTAGAATTGACTATTCTGCTGTTTTTCATTATATCAATCCACTAAATCAGTATAGTTCGAATAAAAGAGGCATATAGGGCATCATTAACGTTTCCGACATTTGATGTAAACGGGCTGTGCTTATTGTATAACAGTTTAAATTTGACCGAACTTTCTAGCCCTCCTATCCTCCCCAAAATTTTTACTAGAAATGAAGATAAGGAAGGTAATAATTCTGTAGTATTTAAGCAATGTATGATTAGGGCAATTTTAACAATCTATCATATTTGACGGTATCAAAAATAAAATAATTTATCTTTTTAGGTCCTTATTTGCATAACCGCAGCCTGTGTTTTAACATTCCCCTATATGACATCCAGCTTTAAGGACACTTCTCGATTTAATACAATGATACCTGATTTAAAACATCATCAGTCTGTAATAACTACCCTTCCAACCGAGGAGGTACATATGCCACCTCCACCGCCAGAATATCTAACATGGCAACGATTCTATAGCCACTGTGGTCCGCAAGCTTGGTGGAAGGAAAACAATAAAATCAAGACTCAATTGAAATGTGCCCATCTGGAAGGTTTACCCGTGTCCTGGGAAGGTGATGTGACACAAATTCAAATAGCCAGTGTTAAAAATAAACCAGCTTGGTACATCAACAAATACTTACCATCATGGCTGGCTAAAATCATAACCTGTTGGTATGGTGAACGTTTGTCGGCAATTAACAAATGCGCTGCTCCTCAAGATCGCCTGTGTAATGACTTTGAAGAAATTCTAAAAACTAGCAATTTAGATCAACAATGTTCCTTACAAAAATGGAATCAGTATGAATATGAAATACGTATAAATATGTATGCCGGCATATTGGATAAACGTCGGCAAGAAGTTGTGTTGCAGGCTCAACATAAATTTGGTAATTTTTCTAAGCGTTTAATTGAAGGTGATCGTGTACATTTTTATGGTACCCTAACAAATAGTCGCATTGTTTCCCTGCCACCCTCAACACATATCTATGAAGAATATCTATTGGGTGGCTCTCCCGTGGCCCATATCAAATTGGCCGCCATTGAATGTTTACAGTGTCAAGATCGTGATAATCCGCCTGTTATTATTGATTCATTGATCAAATCACCTGTCGATGCAAGAATGCGAGATTTAATGCGTGGCATTAAGTATTTGTTGAATGTCTTCTTGAGTCCATTGATAACGTTTAAATAAAAACCTGTACACCCAGACGTTTTTCTTCATGCAACAAAATGCGCTTGGTTTTATATTTACTGCATCTGGTGGAAAGCCTCATTTAACTATGGTTTAATGGTTACATTTTTATTAAATGTTGGAGGGGAGTTCATTTAAGAGCATTTGGCAACGATCTAGCTGTCCGTATATCTGACTTGTGCAAACAATAAAATATTCTTGAAACTCTTCACACCTTATACTTTAAATTCAAACAGCGGACTGTATTGGTTTGTAGCTCGACTGCTGATACACAAAAATCATAAAACATATTCCCAGTTTTTGATTTGTTTGTTGAGCAACATTTTATTTCCTTCAAATTTAGGACAATTTCAAAACAAGATTACATCGGTCCACTCCACAACAAACCTAGCCACAAACTCTTAATGTAAATGCAAAACTTTTGCACAATTTTAATATCTGATTTGGTCTAAAATGTTGTGGTAATATTTCAAACTAACTTACATCGAATAAAAAATAAATATCGGCACAATCCTTTTCGTACCTCCTTACAAGCACGTCTTGCAAAAGTCATTGGCTGAAGTTTTATATAGTTTCTACTCCTTTTAAATGTGTTATATTTTCCTTAATATTTTCCATATTACCTCTATTATATATTGTTATCGATTTATTACTCACATTTATGTACATGCCCCCCTAAAAGTACTGAAAATGTATGAATATTTCGTGTGTGTGTTTCTCTCTTCTATAATTTTAATATTTAATTTTCTCACACCCAATGTACAACTTGATTATTGAAATATATATTTGTATGTACATGTCTATCTAATGCTAACTTGAATTAAAAAGTAAAATGATTAATTATTATTAGTAATTATTAATAGTTTTAAATGTCACCTAGGTCAATCGACAGAAATTATATTACTAATAAAACAAAATAAAATATAAACGTTTCCAAAATCAATTATTAAAAGCAAATTAGCAAAATTTAATAAGTATTTATGATGTCGCAAATATTTATGGTATTGCTTCTAAATAAAAGCTAGAGTTTTCTACAACTTTTTTTATCTATGTTTCGGAAGTGTTGAAAATTTGTTCATCCAATTTTTAACCAACTACGGAGTATACGATTTTTTTACAATGTCATTGTGAATTTCATTAAAGAGTTAGTCAGTTATCAGCGTAATGAGTGTAGAGTATATTTGTAATGACATGTATGTTCATACTACACACAAATAACAAGAAATTTGTTGTTGTTGACATTATCGTAATTGTCGGTATGCACAGTACACAGCAGTCATAACTCAATGCATGTTAGATTGTGTGTTGATTTGACTTTAATTACTAATATTTAACCCACTGCGGAATGACACGATTTTAAATTTTATATAGACTAGAGGTTATTTAAACCTACGTACTCCCACATAAGAAGAGACTGGAAAGAGTTTTAAAATGTACTAAAACAAACTAGATATTGATTTATGAAACTTTCTAAGCCAAATTTAATTTTGAAATTTACACTTGCTGGACACAATTTTTTTTAAATTCTTGAAATTATGCAAAATTTTGGTATAAAGTAAAAAACCTGAAGTACCAAATTACAGAAATTAGTTTGAATATTGTGGTTAATATCAGGAAGTACAATTAAGACACTTTTATTGAATAGATACTTTTTCCTTACATATAACCGTTTGGGTCAGCCGTACCAGATATGATCTTCCCGGCTCGGCTTCAAAAGGAAGTGGACTAAATTTTGTCCAACTTAGCCGGAATTTTCAACGCTTGCCTAAATTTTTTTCTAAAATCCAAAAACCTGGCAGGAGGCTAAGTTAGTTTGTATCCTAGTTTTTATTCCCGCAACTTGGAAAGGCAAGTTACGCAATACCTAAGTCTTATCGACCCACAAGTCTAACATTAATCTTACTCAAACCATGGTTGGCTTTACACTAGGAAAACAAAATTGGGGGACTTCTATGAACCAGTCTTCCTGAACAATACAATCAACATTTCCTATAAGGTTATAAGGGTTTGATTCTAGATAAGAAACTTAGTTGGAGAAACCACATTCAAGAAAGAGCTTATAAAGCTCACAGATGCTGGACAACGTGTAAAAGATGTCACAATGTCTATTCAAGAGCTTAATTAGATCCATTCTAACATACGAATCAGTTGTCTGGTGGACAGCTATGGATATAAAATGTCATACCAAAATATTGCTTAAACTCCAACGAATGTGCTGCTTAAGCAACACCAGCTAGGGCTTTAGAGACAATTGTGTATGTAGGGCGGGACTGGTACTTTTATTAACGAACCATATACCGAATCTCCTTTCGCTTGCCCGATCATAACACGATACTTCTGTAACTATAAGCGCCTCATCAATACCACAACCATAAGGACAAAAATACTTTAGTCGCTATTTTTATTTCTTCTAACTTCTAACTTCTATTTTTAATCAGTTAGAAATGGGCCATTTGAATAAATATTTAACGATAATTAGCTAGAAAATTAATAATGGTATCAAACAGTAACATTGAATGAATGTACTCAATACAATTGAATTCAATGAATTTACTTAGATTACCTGTCGTTCAATTATTGTTGATTCATTCAAAAAAGGGGAGAAAGATGGTCCAAAATCTCAAAAGTATGTGGCTAATTGATGAACATGAGTATCAAAGGCGACTTGAAAGTTCATTCATTATACCCTACACCACAAAGCGGTCAGGGTATTAAGTCTTTGTGCATTTGTTTGTAACAGGCAAAAGGAAACGAGATAGACCCATAGTTCCTTTTGATGATCTGCATAGAATCACATTCTGAGTCGATTTATGCATGTCCGTCCGTCCGTCTGTCTGTCCATATATTTTTGTAAGCAAAGTACAGTTCGCATGTATTGCCCTATCCAGATGAAATTTTGCACAGATCATTTGTTTGGCCCAAGGACGAACCCTATTGAAATTGGAGATAATCGGTCAAAATTTAGATATAGCTTCCATATATTACTTCGTCCGATTTACCTTTAATTGTGCACCAAACGTCTAATATTTGTCCAAATGGGATGGAATTTGGCACTTACGACCGAATTGAGTCTAGATGCTAGTATGTCAAATTTGGTGAAGATAGGTTCATATATTTGTTACCCACAATCGTAATATGCACTCCGTAACAACGATATTCGGGGAAATATATCAAATACAGCTCAGGAATGTCTTTGCCAAATTTTATGGGGATTGATTCAGATTTGGATATAGCTCCCATATATATCTTTATCCGATTTAAAATTAATTGTGCATCAAATACAAGTCCGAATTTAAAAGATACAAATGCTTCGGCATGTTTAGTCCTTTGAACTTTAAATTATAATTATAATCATAGCGTGTATGATTGAACTATCCCATAAAAACTTTTAATTGTAATGGGTATCATATAGTTGGCCCCGCCAGACTTTAAGACTTTCTTTACTGGTTTTTTATTATTGTAAAGTGGAAATAGCAACAAACGATTAAGAAATTCCATGGCTCAGCAGCAGTGCGATATCTACTTACAAAGCTAAAAATATACATACAAACCTACTAAGTGTGTGTATGGGGCCTGTGCAAACTATTGTTTCAAAACGTGATTCAATTGAATGGAGCAAAGCATCATATAAAGAGAGGCCCGGGCAACACATTGTGAAATAAACTATCATTATTGAGGAATTGTTTTCTCTTTAGTTGTGTGGGTTTTATTTATTTATATTTTGTTTTGATTAAACAGTAATTTTGATTTATTAGCAATTTTTTTGTTCAGCTTTTTCTTTATTTTCTATTTATCATAATTATTTACTACTACAATAACAACATATCCAAGTAGATATAAATTGTAAAACTTAAAAATTATTCAAAAGTATATCGTGAATAAAAAAACAAGACACTTTTTTAGTACAAAAGAAGAAATGCTACAGATAATAATAGTAATAAAAAGTAGATAATTTGTGATAGGATACTTCCTACATTGGGTTTTATGGTACACTGAGGGTGTATGAGAACAATAAAAATTGTAAAATTCCATGCAATTGAAAATTTTAGGCCAAAAATAGGCATTTTAAAATGTTTATACAAAACTCAAGGTTTATAAAATCATAACCAAGATTTTTGAGGTTCTACTTGCCGGACACTTCTGTCAAGTTTCCAGTACTAAGTTTATTAGGCGAAATAAATCACAACCACATTTAAATTGTTCCCACACACTTGCAGAGTATTCCTGGTTTCCATCATGATAATTGTGGAAATGAGTGTGTTGCAGATTGAGAGAAGGTGGTGGGCGAAATATTAATTCATATAATAGTGTATAAAAACTAACAATAAGTACAACTCTTTTGATAATTGTTAAAAAAAAATGTTAAATATAATGAGCAGGGCAGCAATCAACAATTTGCGTTAGGGTGAGGAACTTCCCCTTCAAAACGAAAATTAATGTTAATGACTGCGGTTAGTTGATTGGTTCTTTTCTTGACACTATTGTAAATCCCCTTAAGTATTTCTCACACTTTCTTTTTAATGGAACGGAAAAATGAATGTTGTATTTTCTTGTTTTTTTTTTTTTTTTTTTTTTTTGTAATTTGAACTATAAAAATATATGTGTTTATTTACTTAGAATCTGTTGTTTTGTTTTTGTTCTTATCATAGCTTCACATTTGCATTCCTCATTTCATTTATAACTCTTTCTTCTTTGTGGCCTGCACTATATAACCTTTGGCAGTAAGCACACCGCGACAGCGTACATGTACCTGATAACGCATCACCCAATCGACCGTATAACCGCCGGGAATGGTGAAATCATTATCGGCTAATAAAATTTCGGGGTCACCATGAGTCAGCAATTGTATATCATTTTGTGTACAAAATTCTTTCAATTCCGGTGGTACAACGCAACAATTAGCCAAATTAATTTGAGCTATGGTCGGAGGCACTCTGGCATAGCTGTGCAACTGCTGCAAGCTACTGCTGTCCAAATCGGCAATGCCCAACTGGCAAATTTGTTTCTTTTCCGCGAATTCTTGTAAAACATTCCAAATACTCTTTAGACTATTAACATCGACGGCATCACCGCCATGTGGATGATAAGCCACCACAAGATTATCAACATAATCCACTTTGAGTATATCCATTAAAGCTTTGACTGCCTCTTGCACCCCCATACCGCTGGCATTGTTTACAAATAATTTGGCTCCAATACTTATTTCGTTGCGTTGATTTTCCAATATTTTCTCTTGCAACTCTTTTTGAGCCCGCAGCACATGAGCTTCATTGTCGCTGTGACCAGTCACCAGCTGTAAATCGTCTTTTCCATCAGCGGCAGCAGCCGCCTGACAGTCGGTACATAATTTCAAGCTGTCTAACAGCTCTTCGTGCGATGTACGCAATGGTGTGGCATTGTCCACATTTAAAATGTTACCCGTGCTGATTAGAATTTTTTCTAATTTTGGATTATTCACAATTTCAGTTAACATGTTTGTTTTGTTGCTGTTTCTCTACTGCTTCCTTTTGATGTCTACTAGACTCTTCGCTTTTTATCAAATTTCTTTACGTCAGATCGTTTATCGTTGCCTTTTCACGTCTTCAGACAAGTACTGTGGGCTATCGCAAGATTGTATGTGGGCTTTTATATAAAAAATAAATAACTAAAGTATAAAAATAATTAAGATAAACGGCGTGCACACACTACTTGTCTCTTCGAACAAAAAAAAACGATGGAACACTCATTCACAAAACACATACATGAACACATGATTATTTTGACAAGTGCTTGGTGATGCCATATTGTTGTTATTACCATATTATCAATAAAAAATATGGCAACATGAATTCAGCAAACTTTACGTTAAAAGATAAAGGGAAGATGGTCTGGCCTTTTGCTTATAGGACAGATGATGCTTATACTAAGTTCACATGACACGTGATTCGCTCTCTATTCCTTGTTCGACCCATGGCAGAACTAAGAAGGTAAAGTCAAGTAATCATATGTATAAAATTTTTTCAATTTTAAACATTTCATTATCAAGATCTATATTCATAAATCCATTGTATACACACAAAATCAGAGATGTGAACTGTTTTTTATGCATTGAAATTTGACAAGGTAATGCTAGGAACACAATTGGAGCGAACGACGAATTTTTTCGCGGCGTATGTTCGTCGTCAAAAATAAAACACATATGTGTATATGGAAGTGCACACAATCACTGCACCGGCGAAAATTTCGTCGGTCGCCGCGAACTCAATTAGCTTTATTTCTATTTCATACGCCGGCGACCGGCGAACAAAACAGTACAAGGTGGCCATACTTGTACGAATTTTATGTGTTTTAGTAAATAAAGTTACTTTTTACTTTAAAATTTGTTATGGTCACTCTACTATCTGTTACTCGTATAAAAAAAACATAATTAATTTGTTTATTTATTTGTGTACTTGCGCCTGAGTGAAGATGGATATCAGTGAATTTATAATAGAGAAGATGGACATAAGTGAAATTATAATAGAGAACGTAAAGAATTATGTGTTCTTGTATAATTCATTGTAGTCAACAAATGAGCAAAAAGTAAGTAAGTAAGTAAGTAAATTTTTTTATTGAGTCTTCTTCTTTTTCTATGTGATAGTGTTATGCAGTTCGAATGATAACATATAACCTTAGAATTATTATCGTCTTGTTCTAATACACTATGTCGACGAGGTATGCTACTGTGCACTTTTGACAATTTATATAAAACATGAACGTTTCGATTAAATGATAAATTCTTGAAAGGCTTGCTCACGGCCTTGGAATGACAAACAGCGCTTTATAGTCTGTTACAAAATAAATAACTTAAAATACTAATCAATACTTAATAAATAGATAACAACGATCTGTTAAAGCAATGTACAACAGAGATATGATTTAACAGTAGAGTTAAAAAGTGTGTGTTTCGTACATAAAAAATATCACAGTTTGTTTAAATCAAATATATGTGCATGTATATGTAAATCGAGCGCTCATAATATTAAGCTTATAAGCAACATGTTAAAATATTATTATAAATATTAATTTAGGTTTTTTTTAGGTAGTTTAGATTAGCCCCGGTTCGAGCCAGGTATTGTTTTTTTATAAAAATCTGGAAGTGTGTATGTTTCTGGACCGATGTCCAGATTTTCGTTTATGATTCCAACAGGTGATATGTATGCCGATCCAGACCAGCGCAGTAACTTTTCATATTCAAAGATTTCTTTTAACAAATCATTCTCATGTGTGGCCAATCTTTCGATAAATAGCTTTTGATAATTAAATGCATAGATACAGAGCGGCTGAACTCCAGACGTTTCATATACAAAACTATTGGAGTACTTTTTGTCATGACACAAGTAATGTTTGTTAATGCACTTTCGGAGGATTTTTCTTTCAAAGACTTCCAATTCTTTGGCCACTATAGGAGAAATAGTGAACCAGATTGGGAATCCGTATAGCAAAATAGGTCTAATGGCAACTTTATACATAAGAAGTTTTGTTTTCTGCGGCAAATATTGGTTATTAAACAGGTAAGAAAAGGCTCCAGATATACGCTTCGCCTTCTGTATCGCAGAACGTCCATGTGTATTGAATTTTAAAAGTTTGTTAAACTGGATACCCAAATATTTTATATTGCTGTGGAATGGGATTTCAATTTCGTCCAGAATCAGTTGCAGTCTTTTGCTTTCAGGAACTACTTTTTGAGGACATTTCCCAGAAGCATTCCGTATACAAATGGCTTCCGACTTTGAGGCGTTTATTTTAATGTTCCAGGACTGATAATACTCTTTAATTACTCCTAGGTGGTAAGCAGCTTTATTTAGTGCTTCTGCGGGGTTGCTATCATGGGCATATATTAAACAATCATCTGCATATAATATAGCCTGTGAATTTTGTACGACATGGGGAAAATCGTTGAGAAACAGATTAAAGAGGTATGGAGCTAGCACGCTTCCTTGTGGGACCCCACTGTTCACAGGACCAATTGATGAAGATTTGTCTTGAATTTGTACTGTAAACGTTCTGTTACACAGGTAACTCTGTATAAGTTTAACAATGTATGGGTCTGTTTCCAGCTCTACAAGTTTATATAAGATGGCACTATGACATACTGAATCAAAGGCTTTTTCTATATCTAGTGATATAGCTACTGTACATTTTTGGTTTCTTAGGTTTTTGGTGATATCGTGATGAAACTTAATGAGTGCATGTTGTGTTGAGTGTCCCTGCTTAAATCCAAATTGAAAATTAGGTACAGGATCAATTATGAAGCCGTTTTCAATCTTGCCCTTCATTATCCTCTCCAGGACTTTGCCAATGTTTGATAACAATGAAATTGGTCGAAAATCAGAGACAGTTTCGCTGTCAGTTTTCTTTTTAATGGGGATTATTTTAGCTGCTTTCCACGCAGTAGGAAAGTATCCATTGTTTATGCAATTGTTAAATATTATTGCCAAAAAAGTGAAGGCAGTTTCAGGGAGTTTTTTTATAATAAAATTTGATAATCCGTCTGGTCCACAAGACTTCTTATTGTTGATATTATTGACAATATTTCTAACTTCCCCAGCCTTTGTGAAGTGGAAGCTGTCAGTGTTATTGAGAGATTGAAAGGAGCTATCAAATGAGTAAATGTGCTCAGGGACTGCACCGGTGACAGAGGATATTCTCGCATCAAGGTCAGCTACAGGTTGTTGTGGAGACGAATGTTGAAAAGTAGATGAGAAATGGTTCTGGAATAACTCAACAATTTCATTGGTATTTGTGATTATGTTATTGTTATGTATTATTCTTTGACAAAATGGAGATTTTCTTTTGCCAGAAATGCGATATATTTCTTTAAATGCCGATGGACCAGGTTTTATGTTTTCCAACCTGCTACTGAAATGTTTGGCTTGTTCTATGTTCACGGACTCTTTTATTATTACCTTAAGTAATTGTATTTGCTTAGATAAAATGGCATACTCACGGCTAAGTCTATTTCCGCATCTGTGGAAAATTTTTTTAAGTTCCTTCTGCCATTGGTGCTTCATTTTATACAGTTTTCTCGTTCGTTCAGACAGTGGAAATTTAGAGTCTAATATTTCAATAGAGGTCGAATGATTAGTGTGAAGTGTGGATATGGTGTTATTGAATTCACTTATTAGATTATCAATCTCTTGGTTGGATAAGTTTCTTCTGGTAGAAGGCATCAGTCTCTCCATTTCTTGGTCTATATCACATTGAAAACTGTTCCAATTTGTGTCTCTGTATGAGGTATACATCCTTGAAGGCTTAATGATGAATTCAACTCTTCTAAGGTCCATAGTTAGTTTGATTGGAAAGTGATCTGAGAAGGTAGGTAAAGATGAAATTCTACAGTTATCCAGATTACTGTGTACTAGGTTGGCACTGACAATAAAATGGTCTAGATATGACGGACCGTTAGGGTATGACGGCGAAGAGTCACAGATCCTGTTTACATTCAGAATATTTTCATTTAGCCATTTTTTTAAAACCTTACCATTTGAATTTTCAACGGAGTCGCCCCAGTCTGGACTACGAGAGTTCAAATCACCTCCAAGGATAAATCCGTCGTAGTTATCAAGAAAAGTGTTGAGATTATTCAAATCGGCTTCAAGAAGTTGGGTGTTGTAGTGGCATGGTATATAAACCGAACCAACTATATACTTTCGTCTTTCGTTGTTCATTTTGATTTCCGTCTTGATTAACGATGTGAAAAATGTCACATTATCAGGTACAACCCGATTATATATAAAATTGGTCTTGATCACAACTGCAACACCCACAGATGAATCGTCACGTATAAAATGATAATTTGGTATTTTAATTCTTCTATTTCTTCTCAAATGACACTCCTGTATAAATGCAATATCTATATTGTTTTGACGTAGAATATTATACAGATCAATTTGCCTACTTCTGTCGACGAGAGATCTGACATTGAATGTTAAAAGACTTATTGACTTATGGTCCATAAGTGCTTTTAACTTTATTTAGAAGCCGGAGAAATTCAGACTTAGCTTCTACTTTTGTCATTGTATTGTAATTTGATAGAAATACATCTACCTCTTCTTCTAGTGATAATTCCTCAGGCTGTAAGAAAACGTTCACTAATTTGAGGAATTCTTCGATTACTTTTGGTTTTGATGGCGTATGTTTTTGATGTGTCTTTGCAGAAGGTGGTGTTCTGAGCATACTGGCAAAACTAGTACCAGGTAATACTACAGATGGCCGCAATGCCTCTTTTATGTTACTAATTGCTTGGTTTTTGACTTCAGTGATCTTTTTTTGATGTTGTTGTCTGGCGGTGGCATACTTTTTGTACATTGGACATCCCTTAAAGTTAGCCGGATGTCCAAACTCCTCGCAGTTGCTGCAATATGGACTGGATGAATCCGACGGATTCCTCTTGCACTCTCCAGGACCATGTTCCTGGTCACATTTAACGCATTTGTATGCGGAATTACAGTTCCGAGAGATGTGGCCCCACCTCTGGCATCTGTGACATTGAATGTCATTGTCCTTTTTCTTCGGTTTTTCCCACCAAATTGTTGTGTACTCAAATTCGTTTATATGGGAGATATCACCTAACGTTTTTCCTGGCAAAAGAGATACTAGATAAAGCCCAGTGTCCAATTGTTTCTTGATGGACATTTTTGTTTTGAACCTTGTCACATTTGCAACAGTGTTTGGCGCGATTTGGTCCAATTCTGATTTTACATAATCA